TTAGATGTGAATAGGAAGCAGTGACAGAAGAGAAACAAAAAAATGGCATTATGTGAACACATTCTGTCAGGGCCAAGTCTTTTATAAGATGTGAATAAGAAGCTATGACAGAAGAGGAACATTGACAATGACATTATATGAACACATTCTGTCAAGGCCACGTCTTCTATTAGATGTAGATAAGAAGCTATTAAAGAAGAGGAACATAGACAATGACATTATATAACAACATTCTGTCAGGGCCATGTCTTTTATTAGATGTGAATAAGAAGCTATGATAGAAGAGGAACATAGACAATGACACTACATAAACACATTCTGCCAGGGCCACGTCGTTTATAAGATGTGAATAAGAAGCTATGACAGAAGAAGAACACAGACAATGACATTATATAAACAAATTCTGTCAGAGCCACGTCTTTTATTAGATGTGAATGAGAAGCAATGACAGAAGAGGAACATCGACATTATATAAACACATTCTGTCAGGGCCACGTCTGTTTTTTGATGTGAATAAGAAGCAATGGCAGAAGAGAAACATAAAAAATGGCATTATATGAACACATTCTGTCAGGGCCGCGTCTTTTATTAGATGTGAGTAAGAAGCCCTGACAGAAGAGGACCATTGACATTATATAAGCTCATTCTGTCAAGGCCACGTCTTTTATTAGATGTAAATAAGAAGCAATGACCGAAGAGGAACATAGACAATGGCATTATATAAACACATTCTGTCAGGGCGACGTCTTTTATTAAATGTGAATAAGAAGCAATGACAAAAGAGGAACAATGACAATGGCATTATATAAACACATTCTACCAGGGCCATGTCTTATATTAGATGTGGATAAGAAGCTATGACAGAAGAGGAACATTAACAATGACATTATATGAACACATTCTGTCAGGGCCACGTATTCTATTATAGATTTGAATAAGAAGCAATGACAGAAGACGAACATTAACAATGACATTATATAAACACATTCTGTCAGGGCCGCGTCTTTTATTTGATGTGAATAAGAAGCTATGGCAGAAGACAAACATTGACATTATTTAAACACATTCTGTCAGGGCTACGTCTTTTATTAGATGTGAATAAGAAGCAATGACAGAAGAGAAGCATAGACAATGACATCATTTAAACACATTCTGTCAGGGCCACGTCTTTTTTAGATGTGAATAAGAAGCAATGATAGAAGAGAAACATTGACATTATATAAACAAATTCTGTCAGGGTCACGTCTTTTATTGGATGTAAGTAAGAAGCAATGGCAGAAGAGGAACATTGACATTATATAAACATATTCTTTCAGGGCCACGTCTTTTATTAGATGTGAATAAGAAGCAATGACAGAAGAGGAACATTGACATTATATAAACACATTCTTTCAGGGCCACGTCTTTTATTAGATGTAAATAAGAAGCAATGACAGAAGAGGAACATAGACAAAGGCATTATATAAACACATTCTGTCAGGGTGATGTCTTTTATTAGATGTGAATAAGAAGCAATGACAGAAGAGGAACATAGACAATGGCATTATATAAACACATTCTACCAGGGCCATGTCTCATATTAGATGTGGATAAGAAGCTATGACAGAAGAGGAACATAGACAATGATTATACGAACACATTCTGTCGGGGCCACGTATTTTATTATAGATTTGAATAAGAAGCAATCACAGAAGACGAACATTAACAATGGCATTATATAAATACATTCTGTCAGGGCCGCGTCTTTTATTTGATGTGAATAAGAAGCTATGGCAGAAGAGGAACATTGACAATGACATTATATAAACACATTCTGTCAGGGCGCAGGGCCACGTCTTTAATTAGATGTGAATAAGAAGCTATGACAGAAGAGAAACATAGACAATGACATTATATAAACACATTCTATCAGGGTCACGTCTTTTATTAGATGTGAATAAGAAGCAATGACAGAAGAAAAACAATGACATTATATCAACACATTCTGTCAGGGCCACGTCTTTTATTAGATGTGAATAAGAAGCAATAACAGAAAAGAAACATAGACAATGACATTATTTAAACACATTCTGTCAGGGCCACGTCTTTTATTAGATGTGAATAAGAAGCAATGACAGAAGAGAAACATTGACATTATATAAACATATTCTGTCAGGGCCACGTCTTTTATTAGATGATGTGAATAAGAAGCAATGACAGAAGAGATACATTGACATTATATGAACAAATTCTGTCAGGGCCACGTCTTTTATTATAGATTTGAATAAGAAGCAATGACAGAAGAGAAACATTGACATTATATAAACACATTATGTCAGGGCCACGTCTTTTATTAGAAGTAAATAAGAAGCAATGACAGAAGAGGAACATAGACAAAGGCATTATATCAACACATTCTGCCAGAGCCAGGGCCTTTTATTAGATGTGAATAGGAAGGTATGACACAAGAGGAACCTTGACTATGACATTACATGCCTTACTTTGACAGAAGAGGAAGATAGACAACTGCATTACATACAGGGTGGGCCAATAAAAATTGGAACATTTTTCTATTTATTCAATAGCCTTTATTTTTCCAGTTCAATCCACAAAAATTCAGATAATGGTAAAATGATTATTTTTGAAAATGTTAAAGATAAAAATATGTATGTATGATTTTTTTCGGCTCGTCGTCGTCATTATTTGTACACTGCGTGCGTCATGAAACATTTCCAAATTTTCTCTGCTTGAGACATCACTGCTGAAAACACCGTATTTTTCATACCATACAATATGTACCCTTCAAATGATCTCAACACAATTTCCATTAAAACATATGTAGTTATCTCTAAGAGAAGCAAGACATATAGCCCTTGGATAATATAGCTTAACTGGCCTCAGCTTTTTTCAAAACTGGCAAAATATGTCTCAAAACCTGTCATTTCAGCCATGTATGATTGTCAGGTCGAGCAATACCAAGAAATATCTCATCTTTGATTTTCTTGTCAACTCTTTCAGTCTTGAAAATAATAGAATGGATTTAGATTCTCGCAATCTTGCAGTTATGTTTCTCGCACTCACTTCGGGATGTGATCATATACTGTTTTTAACAGTTTTATATACACCTGGCAGTGACATAGTTGTTGAAACAATGGTTGGGTGCGACGTCCCTTGTTTCGTGGAACATGTCATCATTTATCGCTGCTTGCCGGTCAAAGTTTCAGTCACCAAACTTCGCTTATAAAGGGGCCGATTACAATCAGAGTGGTTACGGGAAATCGGGTCCATGGCATACAATCTAATTTCATGAAAATCAGTCTGTGCAGTCTGTTTGGAAAATATGTATTATTTTTGATAATGGGAATGACATTTCTCTCTGGAGCATCGCATAAAGACAGAGAGAATATATTTTTTCTTTTTATCCCCTGCGAGGTACGGATTCTGGACACCTGCTAAGGAGGATGAGATATGGGCACTTGCTGAAAAGCTATGATATATATAGGGGTTATGCACTGGGAGGTTTTGGATACAGGGAATATCCCGAGGGGTATACAATATATCTTCCCGAGGGACCAAAGGGACCAAGGGAAGATGTATTGTATATCCCAAGGGATATTTCCTGTATCCAAACCGACCGTGCATAACTGTTGTATTCCATACCTGATGAGGTTTGAAATAATAAGCATGTATCCCATGTGCTCTGGTGTGTTTACTTGCAAAATATGTTATCATTTTCAAAAAAATTCAAATTTTTTCCAAATTTTTTTTCTAAATTTTTTTACCTAATTTTTTTCCACAATTTTTTTTCAAATTTTTTTCCCGAATTTATTTTTAAATTTTTTTTTTTTGAGCGGGACATACGATTTATATGTCCCGGAGCTCCGTTGGAGCGGGACATACGAAAAATATTTGCCCGGATATGGAATATATTCCCAGTTGATATGTCCCTGAAACCTCATCAGGTATGGAATACACAATTAAATGTATGCCTTTATAATATAACACACAAATAAAAAATATTGAAAAATATGTTACAAATATTATACTGTGATATCTTCCATGAAACTGATCGATCATATATGCCACACTACTGTTAATGAATAGTTTCCCTAAAATCCTAATCATGCAAATATATCTTCAGGGTTTACAGGTAGCAGATACTAGGGGTCGAAATACAAATACACAATTCTGGGGGTAATTTCCAACTCTAGGTTCGAATTCTTAGTTACTACCAGTCATGCCTCAAATAAAAGTACAAGTTTGACATAGCTAGTAAGCCATCTGTTGGAGAGACGCATAAAAGAATGATGAACATTATATAACATCTAATAGGATTTATTTGTACTTATGACCCAGGGCCAAACATACATTGAACAATAAAATATTACCATTTAACGATTACAGTAATAAACTACAGAAGATTATACAATAATTCTATTGAGGTGAATACCTGTGCATCTTTCACAAGTGATATTCCACGAAGCCCGAAGGGCTAGTGGAATATCATCTTGTGAAAGTGTCACAGGCATTCACCGAAAATAGAATTAAATATTTGTTTTATTATATCACTGTCATAACATCTTCTATAATTAAAGTGTTCTCCCTCAATTGATCGTGCCTCCAAATAAAACTGGTTCAATATTTCATTCAATGTCGATTTTGATACGTTTTCCAAATCAATCACATCGTCTTTGCTAGATATCCAATCTTGAAAGATCTTCACTGATCTTTTTGTTGCCTTTATTATGTTATCTGAATGAATATTCCCTTGGATTCTATCAATTTCTTCAGCAGAAATATTTGGAAACCTTTGTTTACCGTCTGCCATTTTGGGTTATTATGGGGTATATAAAATGAAAATTACACTGGACTAAGTCAACACCGGGGATGTATAAGTCATGACCGTTAATATCATTTGATATTCACCGGAAGTCACGTGACTTCCGTTGAATATCGCTACTTATTTTTAGTCACGTGTAGGACATGGACCAATAAGAGAGTGAGGAATATGACAGTGATATAATAAAAAAATATATTCTTCAAATTACAGATACACTGTACATATATAATAGTGAGCTTGAGCTTGCATATAAAATCGAAACGTCAACCTATACGTATCACCAATCGCCCATACATTGCTTAAATAATTTCGTTCACGTTTAGGTTGTGAAAAACATTGCAAGCTTAAACTCCCTAATATCCCAATTATGGACGTTTAGATTATGACGTATTAAACGCTTCATAAGTTAGTTGCGAAATCTCTCTAATTACATAGGAACAGGACCCTGTTTACATGTTAGTATGTGTTTGAAAGCTTTCCTGTAATCCTTGCTCCTAGTAAGATATACAATGACATTTGTGAGTGAGTTACATATAACCATTGTTACAGTGATGTAGTTTACTTCTGGGCTGATCAGTAAGCCAACAAAAAATGGAACATAGCAAATGATAAAGGATATAAGTATGAAACTTATAAGCTTAGCAACTCTAGACATACGGCGTGACCATTGATAACTATGACTAGTTTGACTAACATCATTATTCAATTTATTTTGCACATCACTCTGAAATCCGATGAATCCGCCATTTGAAATCGAACGACCAGGTGCTGGATCAGGCAACGGTGGATTCTGACTGCTGCATTCGTCATTCGAACTGGTACATCCAGGAGTTGGATCGGGCACTTGACGTTCCTGGCCGTTGAATTCGGTAGTTGAACTGGAACATCCAGGAGAAGAATCGGTCAATCGTGGATTCTCATTGTTGAATTCGTTCTTTGAACTAGAACTCCCAGGAGTTGGATCGTACAATCGAGGATTTTGTCCACTGAATTCGGTAGTTGAACTGGAACATCCAGGAGTTGAATCGGGTAGTTGAGATTCTTGACCATTGAATTCGATAGTTAAACTGAAACGGCCAGGCAATGGATCGGGCAATCGTGAATTATCACTGTTGGATTCGTTATTTGAACTGGAACGCCCAGGAGTTGGATCGGCTAATCGAGGATTCTGACCGTTGAATTCGTTATTTGAACCGGAACATCCAGAGGCTGAAGCGGCCAATCGTGGATGCTGACCGTTGAATTCGTTTTCTGAATTCGAACCCCCAGGAGTTCGCTCGGGCAATCGAGAAATCTGGCCATTGAATTCGTTATTTGAACTGGGACGTTTAGCATTTTGTAGAATAATGCCATGTTCTTTAAGATGTTTCACATGTTTGTGAAGGTTCAAGAATGTTAAAAATTGCAGGACGAGGAGAACTATCACGTGCAGAAACATGATGATACATCCCCCTATCAAATGATACTTATGGATCAGGCCCAGGCCCGTAGCCAGGGGGGGTTCGCATGGTTCGGGCGAACCCCCCCCTGGCAAAAAATTCTTTCAAAATCATGCAGTTTTTCACCATTCTGAGCACTTTTTTAGTGATTTTGGCCCTTTTTGCACCCAAATTGTCAAAAGTGAACCCCCCCCTGGAATTTTCCAAAAAGTGAACCCCCCCTTGGCAAATCCTGGCTACGGGCCTGAGGCCATTACCCAAATGGCAACCTTCATCTATACGCCTGTTTTCATGAAACAAAAGAGAACTGATGGTATACATCAACCATATAGCTACAGTGACTAATATGAGAACATAAGCAGTTTTCTTACTAAATGCCCCATTTACGCATCTTTGCCTTGTCGCTAGAAACATTTCAATCCAGAGCAGAAGAACACCCGTCATGGTTACTCCTGCAGATGCTGATAAAACAATGTTAATAATAAGGCAGGGTGTTGTCTTTCTTAATGTTCCGGATAGTTCAAAGGTTCCTCTTGCAGTCATGATAGCTCCTAATACAGTGTCATTCATAGCTAAGTGACCACGAAATATATTCGAAACAGTCTGTAATTTTTTATAGCGCTTAATTGACATAACGACTAAAAGATTCGCGAAAAATATGATAACTCCTGTTGTAATCTGCATCGTTGGTGCTAATAAATTTCTGTTTCCTGTGACTTCCATTGCTCCCTGTATTTGAGTAACATTTGTACAATTGTCATCACTACTGAGATTGCTAAGAAGTGTGCAGTTTATAGTCATCGTAACTGTTCTATGACTGACGGTTCTTGATGAGTCTTCGGCTTAAGACTACTCAACTGGACAGACTGTATCTATTTTTATATGTGTGGTGGACATATGAAACAACATCATGCAGTAGTCCCCTTGATCCCACCGAACGTGATTAGGTTATGAATATAGAGAATCATTCCGTCCGTCCTTCGGCCCATTCGTCCATATGTTGGTTCGTCTGACCATACATCTGTCTGGACAACAACTCAAGCCGGTTGAGAAATTTGGTTCAACGTTTATAGGCTGATACCTTATGGGAATAGGGATTTATTCATCACCCCATAAACTTTTTGCGGAAATTCATTTTGCGAATCACGATTCATGAAATTGTTGGTATCAATGTGGAAAAGCCGTTGATTCGTCCATCCCCGTCAATGTCGTCCGTCCATTTGTCTGTTAGTATTATTCTTCAAGACCGAAGGTCTTTTTTTAGATTTTGGTTGACATGTCGTGTCATGGGCGAAGATTTTGTCAAAAGGAGACAATAGTACTAGTACTATCTGGTTATTTCTGAGATAAAATGATGATTGATTTGATCAAAATATCGATGTCGGAAGATTAACTGTATCTGATCAGTTATGGGGAGGTGGTCATTAGCCTCAAAAGGTAGCTTTCCGACATCGTTGCCAGGAATTTTATTTGAGCAAACTTTGATTGATACAAACTTAGGATTCTACAGTGAGATACAATCAAAGAGATTATAGCATGCTGACACTGTTACTGATTGGAATAATTATAAAAATTTAGTATATTACTATAAAGTGTGACTTACGGCGCAATGACGCATGCGCATATCAACATTTCTCAAACAAAATTATGAGGGGGAGGGAGGGGGTTCATAGATTAATTGTTCAAATACAGTTAATTTTCGAACATCGATCTTTTGAAATGCTCCTTAAAATATATTTTGTTCGGTGGGATCTGCTACTCCGAGAAGTTGTATGTTCTTCTAGTGTTATCCCTCATATCGTATTCGATTATCCTCGTAGAATAAAACATGTTGTTAACCGTACACTGGTCTATTGTTGAAACTACTCTGTTGAAATGCAACAAAGGTGAACAGTGAATTGAAAAGTTGAGCAGGTATGAAGCAATATCACAAAACTAGTATATAATTCTTAGGTTTCAAGTTTTACTGTAGATGATGGTGTAATTTTCTTTTTCAAGAAATATGCCTCGGGTGTTTTTTGAGTCGATGTCTTGTAAGGGGTTGTTTTTTAAAATAGTTAATAACTAATTATCTAAGTAGGGCATTATCCTTTTATTATGTCCCCACCACATAGTGTGGGGCCATATTGTCGGCCTAGGCGCGTCCGTCCGTCTGTCTGTCCGTACGTCCGGCAGTTTTCTCCAAAACCGCTACAGATACCACCTTCAAATTTTCAGGGATAACTTATGAGTGCATACAGATGTAGATGAAAAAATTAACTCGATACCTACTTCCTGTCGGTCATTTTGAAGTCAAATGCTAAAATCCTTGTCTGCAAACTTTAAGAAAAACGGCTTCACAGTTGCTTTTAAAACTTTAACATCTTGACGTTCAGCTCACTTCATTCTAGATCTGATTAGGTTTTGGACCTGTTAGCTCAGTCATGTCAGCCATTTTGAATGTTTTAAGAAAAGTTCTTGTAAAAGTCTATGTTATTGTTAACAGTAGTTATATGTGATAATTTTGTAAAAAGAAATCAGCAAAAACTCATAATCACTTTTTTATTGTCGGCCATTTTGGATTTTTCCGTCCTAAAATCTTGTCTGTAAAGTCTTGTCTTCGCGTTTTCAGGTGAACCGTTTGGTAGATCAATTTCAAATTTTCAGGGATGATTCTTAGTATGAAAATCTAGATCTGATTAGTTTTTGGGCATTCTGGGTAAATGTCAAGGCAGCCATTTTGGATTTTCCGTCCTAAAATCTTGTCTGTAAAGTCTTGTCTACGTGTTTTAGGTGAACCGTTTGGTAGATCAATTTCAAATTTTCAGGGATGATTCTTAGTATGAAAATCTACATCTAATTAGTTTTTTTGGCATTCTGGGTACAGGTCTATTTGGTAGCGAAAAGCTCTTCAAAACTCTTCAATGAGAAGGAGTGAAAAGAATGAACCTCTTTTGGTGCAAATATTGAAAGAAAAAAAATCGGGTATCCGTGACACCTCTATTACAGATTGTTTTATTGGAATAGAACCTTGCTCAGGAAGTATCAAACATGACTGTAAAGTTTATTTCCACCGCTTTTGATAAAAAAAGTAATTTTGATAAGTCAAACACCAGATTTGTCGGATTTTGTTCAAATAGTAAGAACTGGTGCCCAAAGACGTAGAGGATGGCTTTTAAGTGTCTGCCATTCTATGTTTCTGCTCTAAAAATGTAATCGTTTATTACTGAAAAATTAGTCGTTGCTTTTATGTTTGGTTTAGCTTTTATGTCCTGATACCTTTTGCCATTTTAAAGATGGCTGCTGAAATCAAAATTCGAAATGGCTGCCAGGAAAAATATTACATCCCATCCCAAATAATGATAAAACATACAAAGAAACAGTGTCAAAATGACCCATTTCTCCACCTTTAGACTGCTATTGTATTGTATTCTTTATTGACATGTAAAAGACCAGCGAAGACACAGACCAGAACTTAAGGCACCTCATGCATGATAAATTTGAAAAAACGATATCCGCTTTTAAAATCTAATGAATTTCGACATTTCTGCACCTTAACTTGTCACTTCTTTACCAGATATCTTAATTCCTTTTCAGATTACAAAATCATCATTGAAAAGGACATATTGACATTCTTTTTGAAAAGATTGCGTTCAACATTATACACCTTTTGTTCTTTGCTGTCATTTTTAAATTACAATCTTACCACAATACATACACTGTATTGCATTCCGTCTCAATCATGATAAACCATGACATCTCATTTTTTCTCAGCCTTGAGGTGTTTCTGGTGAAACAGAAAGACGCCATGACAATGTATGAATATCAGAATGTTATGTCTCTATAAAGATGAACTTACAATTAGTCAAAGACATTTGGCGCGTGTGTGACCACTGTGAACAACGAATCAATTTCTAATTAGAAAACTGAACTACTGACGTCAATCCTTATAGGTGTACTGTATTACAAGAATCATTTTAGATACACCTATTGTTGTTACCATGGAAACCATGATGTTTTAGAAAAAACAATAGACTTAGGAATTCTTAACTTTAATTACTCTATTGTTAAAATTTTGGGCAATAGGCTTAGCATTAGAGCTTGCATTCAAGAGTATAATTTCTAATCAGATTAGACCAAAGTCAACTCATGTCAGACCTTAGTTGACTCGAACCTTAAGTCAACTTGCACCCGGGTTAACTCAAATTATTTTGAAAATAATTCTCCCAAGTTGGTTTTCTTAGGCCTTTGCATTAAAAACTGAATGACGATAACAAAACAATAGACTTAAGAATTAATATTCTTACTTTAATTACTCTTCTGTTAAAATTTCTGGCATCAGGTTTAGCATTTGAGCTTGCATTCAGGAGTATAATTCCTAATCAGCTTAGACCAATGTCAACTCACGTCAGACCTTAGTTGACTCGAACCTTAAGTCAACTTGCACCCGGGTTAACTCAAATTGTAAGTTGGTTCTCCTAAACTTTATTATTAAAAACTGAATAACTAAGAATTATGTGTATTTATGAGATATTACTGTTGAGTAATCCTTGGATTATTTTAGATTAACTCTTTATTTAGACGCCATTTCTATACGTTAAATTGAAGATGACCCTATGTTAAATGATCCTAATCACCCAAGATTATAAAGGCACCTCATGCAGACAGATCACCTAAAATTACATTCGTATGATGCGAGACTCGACATTCAACAGGGAACTAGAAACATTTTGAAATTAATATACCAAATTATTTTTTACTGCTTAATAAATGGTGAATGACAGTCACATTAAGTTCTACAAGTATGAGAATAGCATGACGTTCTGATATTTCGAGGTAACTTGTTTGAAAAATGATGGCGGTGATGAAATTAAGATGTCAAGATAAAACCTGTAAACAGTTAAATGAATCTTCGGAGTTTTTAATAGGAACGGTTAACAGATAGGCTAGGGGTCTAAATGAATGCGGTTCTCAGTCTCAGGATAATATTCCATGCAACAATTTGTCGATGTACAGTAAGTCTGTCAGAGAAGAAAGCATGTACAGGTATATTCTGAAATTATTTCCAAACCGTGCAAAAAAAGGAGTATTAGAAGTATGACAACAAAGAGTGAAGAAAATCCAGGTTTCGATTGTATACTTGAGTATTGCCTTCATTGACTAACATAAGTAGGCATAATCACCTAGCTAGCATTAATAAGGGTTATGTAGTGGGAGATTTTGGATATGGCGTTTATCTAGAGAGAGATATGAATCTCCAGAGGGATAAACCCCATTTTAAAACCAACATTACAAAACTGCTTTATCCAATACCAAGCAGTCTTATAGAATAAATTCAACTTCCTTTTTCTTCTTTTTCAAATTAATTTTAGTTCCAAATTTTTTTCTAATTTTTTTCAATTTATTTTTCAAAACTTTTTTTCTTATTTGAGATATGGAAGTTCTGGAAATGAAAACCTCAAAATCAGGATACAAGATGTATTTTATCCTGTAACTCCCTAAAACTAGGCATAGGATGAAATAAAGTTTCTATTCTGGGGTACAAGATACAAAATAATGACCCATCTTTTTGGTGTTATTGATTTTATTTTCATTGAACGTTTCAAATGGTGAGGGAGTGAGGCGAATTACCATGTACTCCCTATCCATTCCTGCCAAGAAAAATGTTTTGACCAAATTAGCTACAAAATAATGATAAAGGCTTCAATATATGATATTTTGCCCACGCTTATTTATGTATATTATTTTATGATTTGACTGTAATAGCTTTGTGCTTTATTTTGACTGTATAATGCAGCATATTTACAACTCGATATTTCAATTTTTGTACATTATTAAGTCCACGAACAAGTTCTAAATCTCATTTGTCCACAATGTAGATGTTTTACGTTTTACGTTGCTGTATATTCCCAATACTATACCTTGACTTGCATCAAGTGTCTTCCTCTCTATGCTTAGTCAGGCCCGTAGCCAGGAAGTGTTTGTAGGGTTCGGGCGAACCCCCCCCCCTGGCCAAAAATTCTTTCAAAATCATGCAGTTTTCAGCATTTTGAGCACTTCTCATGTGAGTTTAGCCATATTTGGGACACAATTGTCAAATGTGAACCCCCTTGGAAATTTTTGAAAACTGACCCCCCCCCCCTTGGCAAATCCTGGCTACGGGCCTGTTAGACATGTGCAGTGTTTGTGGAAGCAGCGAATTCTGGTGCTGAAGGATGCTGTCACTCATTTACTTTATTCTCTGTATCAGAACCAGCGTGTCGAGCGGAAATAAAACTGGCTTACAATAGAAACAATACTGAATTCATTGCTTTCAATTCTCGTGAGTCCAAAGAACTGGTATCCTTGTCAGTATTACTAGTTGGTGACGGCATACAGTAATTTATACATCTCCAGTGCTATTGTCACCACTGAGAAAGCGCCATCTAAATGAAGAAACTGTGTTTATGTGTTAAACTATACTAGGATTATAACTATAACGTACATTTCAGATACAGAGCCTAGTAGATGACGCTTCGGGTAAGTTAACATCATGAAGCCACAAATTATCTCAGGGCATACATATACAGAGTATATATGCGTATTGCCATTCACATGTCCAAAATGTATACATAATGTTTATTATGCCATTATTTCTTCCTCTTTTTCCAATAAAATAGTAGCTCCATTCATCAATTCCTCAAACAGGATCAACGTCTCTTTCTTGATTGTATCCACAAATATAGGAACTCTTTTTAGCTGCGCAATATTCTCCATACAAGACTTCACCGCATCCGGGCCATCATCACCAAGGCTAGCGACCAAGATATCCCTACGCAGTTGAGAGTCTTCTTGTATGACAAGTTCCACAGAGTTCACCAATGGGGGGCCTTTCTCAATAATCTCACGAATTAGTTTGTTTGCCTTGTTGAAGTGTTCGAACGCTTCAATTATGTGGTTGTTGACTATTTTCTTTGGATCGTATTCTATCTCCATGCAGTATTTGAACTTTCTCTTTACACTCACATCCACCTCGGTGCCTGTAATAAGAAAAATAGATTTAGTGGGCCCAAAAACTATTTTAACATATCACACTTGGCTTTAATACAATAATTTTACTTGCTATATCATGTTCAATTAAGGCTAAAAATAAGGTGCACGTGGAGTATTCCTACAAATGAGAAAAATCTGACCTTTTTAAATACATTCTGTATGTGATACCTACGTATTGTACACCAATGACATCAACTACAACTATTTTAAAGGCTTAACAATGTCCACCAAAGCTAACCACACAATCTGTTACACTCTAGGGAGGGGGGAGTGAAGGTCATACCTAGTCTATTCCTGATGTCCTTGAAACATTCTTTAATACTGATTTCCGCATCGTCGCTGCTTACAACAGACTTGAAATGAACGACCTCTTTATGCAACGATCTGTATCTGGCCAAGTGATAGTTGAAGAGGTTGGCATGATCCTGCAACATTTAATACAGAAGTAACATTCTAGTCTTGCTTCAAGACTCTGCATGGCCCGGGGGTTCACTCTAAATAATTTGGGTAGGTATGTGTAGCACTTGCAATTTTGACTTAGGCCATAAATCATGGAAACTGGCGAAACTGAGAGGAAAAAAAACATAGAAAATTTGTCAAAGAGAGAGCCCGTCTTGGACCATTGCTTAAAAGGTGGATTTTGCAGTTAATATACCAATATTTCAGGATTTTTACTCCACTTTATAAGTCTGAGAGGAAGTGTGCATGGAAACTTCCAATCTTACTTTGTACTAGGTTGTGTTGGAGAAGTAGGGGTGGGGGATGGATCCACAGTCTTGAAGCAAGACGTTCCAGTCCAAAAAGGGAAATATATATCGCTATTAATCCAAATTTTGAGTGTATTGTATCCAAATATAAAAATTGTTGAAAATACAAAATACACTATTAGATCTCTAGCTTTCGATATAAGTTATTTGGTAATCTTAAACGTAAACTTGTACTTGTACATAAAAATACATAATACTAGTTAAAAATCTCCGGATGTCGTACATGTATGTAAAATAACGTTCAAATGCAAACCATTATTATGTAATTTTTAAAATGTATTTATTATCACATGTGTCTTGGTCAAAAATGAAATAGGAATTCCTACATGATATATGCATTATAGGCTTATCTTACATGTATCTCAAATCGACTTTCGGGACGAACAATATGAAACACCGGGTACAAATACTTGTAAGAGAATTTATTATGCAACCAAATGACTCGCTCCGGGAATCGCTAACACAGATTGGTTTTATTAGTGTACAAAATTGGTAGTCTTAAGTGTTTGATTGTATACTTTTACATATTCAACTCAGCTTATTAATTTTAAATAGGTGTCACGGCTTTTTGGTCGACACATGCCATGTTACGTGTACAACCAATTTATAAGTTTACCATCATCGTGTATGTGCCTTTTTATCGAAAGCTTTCAATTATATCCAAATGACGAAATCTTGCAAGGAAAAAATACCAAACACTCACCTCCAATCGTTTGTCAACGTTGTCAACACTGGTTTTGTTCACGTCTATCTCCACAATATCCCCTGCTTTTATATCTGAAAAACATATCATGAATTATATCGTAATATAATGTCTCAATTGGTAGCAATCTTTTAAAAAGAAATGTGTTTCCAATTTTATTTTAAGAGAATGTTATTCGATATGCTGAAATGTCAAAATTTATATGAATTTGACTTGTAGAGATCACTAAATGATGTCGGAACTGTTGCGAACAACGGTTATAACGTACTCACATCTAATCCATAGTCTTTGTTGGCCCTTTAAGGCCAGAGTGCACTTTGGATTTTTTGCATTTTGAAAAGTAAACCACTGAATATTCTGTTTATTCAAACATTTTGAAGAATTATCAACCTTCAATTAATAGTCTAGGTTCACGAATGCATATTTTGTGCAAGAATGGAAGATTTAGATGATGTGAGTTTATGTTTATCTGAAAGTAGCACATGATCATGAAATTTCCTCAAAGTGACCCTGACCTTAAACAATGGCAACTGTTGCATCAATAAAATACAAACCTGTCCTGCTTGACTTTGTATATCTCACATCCGATGGTTTATGCTTTCTTGCCGAAACACTACTGACGCTTCCTGATCTATCATCATCATCTACAGATATACCTCGAGGTCTACCGGGCTGTGTCTCTATTGTCTTTGTACCCCCGCTTAATAGGCTCGTTCTCTCAGAGGGGCCTTGGCCACTCTCCTGGAATACATCATTGGTTTCAACAATTAGAGATCTGTATTGAAGGGGTCATACAGGCCGCCAATGTCCTGTTTAAGAACACCTAATCTTACAATTGAAAATGGATTCTAGAAATACTACAGACTGTATCAACATAGATTTACTTCCGTGAAGAATTGAAAGAGCTCTACCCTGCTTTTGATTTTTAAAAATTAATAGTTTGCATAACTTAAAGTTCTCTATGTGTACTATTCTAAAACCACCATATTGCCACTTTGATCAATCTTAAATGTCCCCCGTTATTTCCTCATAAAGGGTATTTTGTAATGATCCTGAGTATATCTACTGTTTATTAAATTTGAAGTGCCACGGCCTGACTTACCTGGCTTCCTGGGCAGCACCCTCCCATGTTATTTATCAAATGCAATGTTGCATTCCTCAGTTCAATTCAACACGATGTTTATGAATTTGGTTATGAAGTATTTTAGGCTCAGCTCCTTTGTATCTGCATGAAATCTTAATAAATTCGCATTTGAAACAACGTTTACTCCGATATTAGTATTTACTGGCTCCTTTACGTGTACACGTACTTTGTCTCGTGAGTTACTGCATATTTGATTGCTTCTTTAGGGCAAAAGTCCTAATCCTATTTTAGAATTTCAGTGAGAAATACATCGACATATAAACATCACATGACTTCCTATACATAAATCTGAGCCGAATGGAGTACTTAAAAGTTTATCGTGACTCAAAGTTCACATGGCCTAAATAAATAATAATGCACTTAAATATACACGTACTTCCAATGCAAAGAGAGAGAATTTGAATAGGATCGAAAGCGATATAGTAGGCCAAGCAGTCGAGTGTAACAACTTCACCTGAATATAAATAGCAATAATTTACATGTACTTTCAACGGTGAACTATTTTTAAGTGGGAGAAAAAATTGAAAAATTGCCACACCCCAGTGGCCATGTCATTTTCTGGTACAAAATCAATAAAGCATTTGTTTATTTCCCGACTTATTTCTTTGCTATTTCAAGGAAAGTATCCACTGTGTATATCATTTCATTGTCTTCTTTACACCCCAGTCACATTTCCCACTGCCGCCGTGCGGTCTATCATTTCTGCGGCCAGCAGGTCTTCTACGCTCGCCGTAGATTTTCTGCGCTCTCATACTTTGGCAGTCACATTCCCCACGGCAGCCGCACGGTGAATTTTAAATTTCTGTTGATAAATAATACTTTTTTTCATTTTATTTAAATCAGGACAATTTATAAATGTTATTCATAGTGCTAGGATGTAATATCAAATGAAAAGTGATCGTGAAACATTGACAAATAATGATTCAATCTTGTTGAGCCAGTTGATTTCTACGGGGACCTCAGAAATGAACAAATATTATAACTCCGAGTTATAATTTCTACGGCCGGACCCTGTAAAAAACTGGATCATACGCCGTACGGAGACCACAAGACCTACGCTCGCCGCAGTAATTCACTGATTTAATTGATCTGCGGTCGACTGGCGCACGGCCTCCGTACGACAAATGTGACTGGGGTGTAACACCCAAGTCATATTTCCTACGGTGACCGTGCGGTCTGTCATTTCTGCGGTCAGTAACATTTCTACTCTCTAGACTCTTCTACCGTCGGATACGTTTGCAGACACATTTCCTACGGCAGCCGCACGGCGAATTTTGAATTTCTGTTGATAAACGTTACTGTTAATTTTTAATTTATTTACATTAGTACAATTCATAAATATTCTTCATAGTGCTAGGATAAAAAATGGAAAGTATTGCCTTGACTCAGAATGTTACATTGAGCATTAGTAACGTAATCTTGGTTGCCGGGCCAATGCATTATGGTTTTTCCATGAAGAAACACGGTTTACATGCATGCCTGAGTCTCTTGATCATATACACTGCACTACACCCCAGTCACATTTCCCACCGGCGGCCGCCGTGCGGTCTATCATTTCTGCGGCCAGTAGTCTTCTACGCTCGCCGTAGAATTTCAGCGCTCTCATACTTTTGCAGTCACATTTCCCACGGCAGCCGCACGGTAAATTTTAAATTTCTGTTGATAAATAAATGCTTTTTCATTTTATTATGTTATTCATAGCTAGGATGTAATATCAAAAGAAAAGTGATCTCGAAACATTGTCAAATAATGATTCAATCTTGTTGAGCCAGTTGATTTCTACGGGGACCCCAGAAATGAACTATTATAACTCTGAGTTATAACTTACGGCGATCGGCCTGTAAAAAACTGGATACGCCGTACGGAGGCCGCAAGGCGAGCGTAGTGTTCGTACGACGCTCGCCGCAAAAATTCACTGATTTAATTGATCTGCTGTCGACGCACGGCCTCCGTACGACAAATGTGACTGGGGTGTTACCAATCATTAAGAAATATACATGCTGTTAAGTTAGATTACTTTTACCAAAAGGTCATTATCGTCCGATTGATGCGTTATAACGCTCGCATTTTTATTGCAACACTTAATTGGATGTCGTAAAAACAGAAATGAGTCGTGCGCCTATTTGGATTTTGAAAATTTTAGCGCAGAAATGTTTGAAAACATACCTTTTAGAGGCAGTATAAGAGACTGATCGATGCTTTAGGATGGGGAACCGAATCTCAAGTAAAGAAAGGATTGCCACATCGGCTTCCTTACCAAGTTTGGTAAGTAGATTTTCCTAGTTTAGGAGCAAATAAATTTACCCGGAAGATCAACTATTTTTTCAAAAAATAAAAACAAGAAAAGTAAAACTGAAAACGTTGTGCTATGTGAAGAGGAGATTCTACCCCATACTTCATGGATACTTTAGTAAAATATGCTAGTCAGACAATTCAATGGGGACACCTAGGTATTTAGTACAACCCTGCTGAAAGTTGACAGTTCGCAGGGGCGTAGGAAGGTGTAAATTCAACACTACGCCAAAAATATGAAAAAATTGTATCAAATCTTAACGAATCAAAACGCCTCTTTTATGCTCGTAAAACGTAATTTTTATGGTAATACCTTTCTAATTGTGCTTAAAATGTTCGAATGTTTTTCATGATATAAAATCACCATGGAAAGCCGATCTTTTAAATCTCAACAATACAGATTAAAGAAACTAGTATGATCAATAGAAACATGTCCGTGATCAATGATACAACATAACTCTAATGTCTTCAACTTTTTATATAAGATAAATAAAGCCCATGCAAAAGTCAACGTGACATTTTGTGGTAAATTGTTTTTTCCTTTCAAAATAATTATTGGTGCCTAAATGCTTTATTTCCTAAAATAATAATCTATTATATTTCAAATAAAATAGAAATTAGGGTAATTGCTTTCCTAGAACTGAAGTTGAAATGTACTTTCATTTTTACTGGCTTAAACTTCCAACTATCATAACCCTCTACCCCAAATCACCTTGATTTTTACGCCAATTTATCGTGGCCGAAGCTAGAAAAAAGTAACAGAGGAACAAAAACCTTGCAAAGAGTACTATTGAAAAAATCGAACATATTACATGGTTTCCAAAAACATTTCTTTAGTGTGCTCGAGATCACAAACAATTTATTAACAATGAGGAAATATGACTACAGAACATAAGGAAATTATTAAGCTATTTCATTCTAGCTTTTCAACACTACGCATTGGCGTTTTGGCGTATATTGTTCCTACGCCACTGGTTCGGATTTTGCTCCAGAATATCTAGTACGTAGCATGTCAAATATTCAATATTTTCACATTTAACACTATTTTACATGTGCTCAATACATGTTTCATGTTATATGCAATATTTTCCAGAGATCTTCTTCAGTAAGTTTCAGTTCATCGGCATCAATGTCAACAAAGAAATGGTGGTCAAAACCAAATATAAATGTAAGTGCATATTATTTATTTATTATTACAGGGGTTTCAGTAGAATTTCTCACAACAGGCTAAATAAATGAAAACAACAGGCAAGGCTAGTTTGTTAAAACAACCGGTGAAAATCACCTGTTGCCTGCTGCTATTGAAACCCTTGTATAACCAAACCATTAATAGTTACTGGAGAGGTTAAGCTACCGTATAAAATCCAAAACGCAACTTAAACATCAATCGCCCCTATACAAATACATGTAGAGTTCACACATAAATAGCCGTTCAGCTCTAGTGTTTGTTTAGACTACACCATAGCTTGTAATGATTACATAGTATGCCATTGATGAAGTTCAATAGCTGGTTTTCTAATACATATTTTAAACGAGCTCGTTTTGTAAGATTATTGGAGTTAAATCATGCGTAACATACATCATCTTCTTCAGAAAGAATTATACTTTGCATCGAAATCAAAATTGCAAGGATAGTATTCAACAGACATGAGTATAATGATTCCCGTTGATAGCAACGTGAAATTAAAAATCTCCCGTTCTAAACACGCAACTTTGAAGTTGAACGGGTATCTGAAGTAGACTAAAGCGATACAATCCTATGTACTTTGCGTTTACGTATACGTTTTGAAAAACCGTATTTGCTTAACCTCTCCAATTTCAATTACTAGTAACTATTCCAAAAATAATGAAATATTCCAGGAGGATTGGAAGCCAAAATTCAAACTCGATATTCTGTTTCCTGATGTGAAACAATTTGGTAATTCTATTTCTAAAATGTCCATCTTTAGTCAATGTTTATAGTTTATGATTATAATCGTAATATTCAATTTCTGTGACAATGCTTCTTCAACATAAGGGAAATGTATTGTTACCAAATTGTTCCATGTAGTTAGACAACAGAATATCAAGTTTGAATTTTGGCTGCCAATCCTCCTTGGAAATCTTACACTAGAAAACCAAACTTAGTAAAGTGACCTTCTGCTTTAAAGTTACAACATAGGAAACATAGGAAAGTTATCTGTAGCAAATTTGTTATTTTTACAAAAATAGCTTATCCCACACCCTTTAAAAGACTTAAACACATTAACTAAAAGAGCAATATTTCCTTTCATTCCATACATTAGAAGTCCCAGAGTGTTGAGGCATTGAATAGGAAATGGTCAAGATCAAGACGTCAACTAAGTTTGAGTACGTTAGATGATCCATTTGGTTCGTCCAAAGAGATTTACCCCGTACCTTTGGTTGAGGCGATGTTTTTACCTGAGTTCCCAATCAAAGCTGAAATCAATGAAACAGATTTTGAGGTAAGATTGAATTATTACATGCCATACTGTCTGTATGATCTGTCAATTAAAACACCATTCTTTACAGAATACCTTTCTATATGATACTATTTTCTAAAGGATCAATTTCAAAGTTCTTTTGACTGATTTGTTAATGAATGTTCTCTGTAAAATGCCTGTCTTAATTATGGCCATGATAGAATGTGTACCAGAGGCACAGATATAGTTTTACTGATACAAACTTGATGAAAAGTATGTCAAATCATAGGCCCAACCTGTTATGCACACATAATTCTATTATACATACCAATAGCATTGCAATAGATTGTTATGTCATGTTGTATATTGATGGTTGATGTATCATGCTTTTACCAATATTTTATTGGATTATTTTATTTACCAAGATTTTATCTGTTTTTTCCAGACAAAGTTATATAAAAATTAATAATGCCTTATGTGTAAAATGTGTATTGTACCTATTATAGTTGATAGAAGAGATAGCTGAAGGAGCATATGGTAAAGTAAACAAAGTGAGAAGACTGGATAACAAAGAACTGTATGCAATGAAGGTGAGTGTTCAAAAGAACCATGAATGAAAAGTGAATTTCACATTGGACAGGCTGATAAGTTCAGCTTGTAATATCCAAGGGCCCATTTCACGTGTTAAGAATTCCTTGATTAATTTTTGTCACCATGGATATAATGATGTCATAGTAAGAGAACATTGGACTTGGGAATCTTAACATTATCAAGGTCCTGTTGATAATCTCCAAGAGGATAACATTGCCTGAAAATTAATAGATGTCAAAGTCTTGTACAATATGCCACAAAATGTTCAATGTGATACTCTAGTAAATCAAACCATAGGGTAGTGCAGATCAAACCTAAAATCCTGTTGGACTGAATTATTTTGAGGAAGATTTCCATTGTATATGCTAGTCTAAAAATACAAAAATCTAATAAATATGTCCTTGAACAAGAACAGTTGTACTTTATAATCTATTTTTGTGGCACTGAATTATTTCAAGTAGGGTTAATTGTCTAATCTCAGCATTACTTTACAATGTCTAATCTCAGCATCATTTTACAATGTCTAATCTCAGCATCATTTTACAATGTCTTACAGTATTATTTTACAATGTTTAATATCAGCATTATTTTACAATGTCTAATCTCAGCATTATTTTACAATGCTCTTGACTTCCACTTAACTTGTTGTTCTTTAGGTGATAAAGAAATCCCAGTTGATCATAGAGGAAGCAGTTGGCCAGTGTAAGGATGAGATCACCATACAGGATATGTTAGGGCATCATCCCTTTGTGCTTCAAGCCTTGTTCAACTGGCAGACTAGGAAACAACTATACATCGGTAAGTTCTTTAGTTCGATGCTAAGGCACAGACCTTCATTGCTACAAGCCTCTACAATCATGTATACACCAACTTTGTGTTTGGCGGTTGGTGTTCAGCGGTAGATGTTCAGTGTTTTTAACAAATGGCAGGTGGTGGCATTTTGCATGTTTCTTAAATTTGCATGCCTTGTCTTTACTTAATTGTAACTGCCTTTGAGACTAATCACAAAACTGTCAGTTCCCTGATCCCTGCTGAAGAGAGAACTACATTTAATTTTTGAAAAGTAACAAGCCATACATGTAGGTTCAAGTCTAGTGAAATGGTCCAAACTGGTACTTGTTAATTTAGAATTGATTGAGCTTTGAATTGAAAACACATCTTTGAGTGAGCCTTAAAGTACCCATAGAAATATTTTTTGTAATAATGCTATGTGTACCATTATCATTCAGTTTCCTTTTGAAATGACCGAAAACTGAAACAAGTTTAATATATATTTTCAGTGATGCCCTATATGCCATGTGGGGATTTATTTACTCTATGGCAAAGAATTGATGACTTTCCAGAAGACTTGGTCAGGGTTTACATTGCAGAGATGGCATTAGTTTTAGGTAAAAATAATTCCCATATCCCATTGATTAAATGTGGTCAGATATCATCAAAGAACACATACTTTACTATATTATGGTGCAGTATTCCAGAATATACTAAATTTTCACAAAATGAGGAAGATTGTAAATTTTCAATCATTTAATGAAATAAAATGCCACACTTGAAGAAAAAACCTTTGAAATTTAATAATTTCAGATCATTGATCTTGCTTGATATACATGGGTTTATCAAAAAGTTCTCATATATTTGTTTTGTTGGCCTAGAGATAGTGGCAGTATTAATTAACTTAGAAGGCAATACTTGGGGTCAGTTGTCTTACTTTAGACTGCTCTCGATGAAATGGTAAGGGAATTAAAACATAAACAGCAGAAAAAATGCCCCATTAGGGCATTTATGCAGTGATCATATTTAAACTTTTTATAATGATAAATTATTGAATTCAAGTGTTTATCATTAAGAAAACTGCTGTTTTGGGATTGACCAATCAAATGTTGATATTGAAGTTGTATCAAATTATTTTGCAGACTTTCTCCATAATGCTGGTGTGATATACAGAGATCTGAAGATGGAAAATATTCTGATTGATGAACAAGGACATCTGCACTTGGCAGACTTTGGATTGTCTAAGTGGCTACGACATGGAGAAAGGACAAGCACCATTTGTGGAACTCTTCATTACATGGGTTAGTTTGTTCATCAAAAAGGCATATTCGTCTGGCAGACTTTGATAGTTTGTGTGTTGATGTATGATTGTCTACTGATCAGGAACAAGAGCATCTTCTTTGGTTAACTTGAACGTCTCCTATTAGTATCTTATTTACCCTAAAGTATAGTATGGTAAGGTTAATAATCTGGCTTATCGAAAGAGCTTCAAATATGTCACTTGTGCAAATTGCTCTCATATTTAAGGAACCAACATTAATACAGAAGTATGTATATGTTCATATAAAAACATGTAATATTGACCAAAAGGCTTTAATTTCCTATCCTGAGATGAGCCATATTGAAAACAATATGTTAGCCATATCACTGCTACCCACCTAATTACACAGACGTATCGTCGGTGTATCATGGTGGAACTTCCTCCGGGACTAGGTTTCGGTAAGATTTTTTTATTTCCCGATTTACACCTACTTATAAGTCACGTTGTGGATAATAATTTGGCTCGAAGTTAAGGAAGATAGTCTAGTTTGAGAATGTGTCGATGGTTTTAGGTTTTATATGTCAACAAAGACACAATTCACGTATTTTGTCCCTTGCTTTTCTTACACTGACGATCGGCATTAATATTGCCAATATTACACTGATATTGGTCGTTTGTCAGTGTAAGAAAAGCGAGGGACTAAATACGTGAATTGTGTCTTCGTTAATTAGGTGGGTAGCAGTGCATATGATATTCTTCATTCATTCTCTATGGTGCAATACTTTGTATATATAGTTGAGTCATATCATTTTACATGGGATTCCATAAATATTGCTATTTGTGTTTGTTGATTAGATGTCCTTGTTTGTTCTAGCTCCAGAGGTTTTACTTGCTGATGATTATGACCATGCTGCTGATTGGTGGACGCTGGGTATCCTGATGTATGTGTTGATTACAGGCGAGGTACAAATATATTTATTTTGTATTGATTTTGGCATCTGTAACAAATGGCATTCGGTGATCGCTCTTTGTAGAAAAATGCAGGTACAGTAGTTGCATCTTGCAAATTAGAAAAGGAAAAGAATAGGGTTCAGAATAGGGTGCTCAACCTGTAACTGCTTGAGCTCAGAACAGATCACTGAATTTTGATCAAAATGTGCAAGAGTTGTTGACACTTCTAGATTAGATACATAAGAACATTGGTTGAAAATCTTACAGTAATGAATCAGATTATAAAGTTTACAGGATCTCCTTGCATACATTTATATTGCACAATTTATGTTCATACATATTACACTTCTTTTTCAGTTCCCAGCTAGTGGGGCAGAGAACCACACTGAGATGGCAGAACTATGTGAGGAGACAGAGTATGAACTAGAGGAGGACTATCCCTGGGCTACCAGAGATGTTGTAGGAAGAGTGAGTATCCTCTAGTAAACATGCTGATGACACTACAGCTTTTCATGCAAATGCATTGCAGAACGATCAACCTTTCTAATCACGTTAGAAATGGACAAAATTCCAACCCAACAATGTAACCGGTGACTTTATTGTAAATTTTCTATCTGAGCCATCAATTTTCTAGGGAAAGCAAATACTATTTTGCAATTTTGATTTAGGTTAAGCTACAAAAATGTATATTTCATTATTGCGTGTATAGTTAATTATATGCTATTTTTGTCAATATTGTATTGAAATTATTTGAAATAAGGAAAAAGATTCTACATTGCAGCTTTTGTGCAGAGAGCCCCAATACAGACTACAAGATGTTAGCAAGCTTTCAATGATGTTATTCTTCAGGAAGCTAAACTTTGATGCAGTCATGGAAAAAATGGTATAACAGTTTTATGTTGGATTTTTGTTACCTTTTTGTCTAGAAATTGATAGACTTATGATGTATAATGTCAAAAACTAATCAATATTACAACTGGGAAATGTATTGTGAATTGAATTCAATTCCTCATTCTTAGTATATAGAGATTGCACTCATGCGTGTAGAGAAGTGAATGATTGATTAAATAAAGATCTTATGGAGCCTATTCCTGTTTAAAAATAATTTTCATGGATTATAAATCTGAACTTCCACACTAATCTAGTTTTGTTGGTCATCATAATACAACAAAGTAAATTATGTTTTTTTCAGTACTGGCCCAGAGATTACTATCCTGAAGGGGTAGAACTTTTCCCAGATGGACATAAATCAGTTGTCAGTGACAGAAGCTACAATTCTAACAATCAAAGCTACAATACTAACTCAAATAGCCAGGTAAGATTCCTACATAGCCAAAAAATACCATGCGGGATTAGCACTGCAATTTCTGTACTGAATTAGCATGATTTTAAGTTGATTTTAGAGGGGTGTTCTGCAGAAATTGAGAATTTCATGTTGTATCCACAATGATTGAATATTTATGTAAATTATTATTTGATGTGAATTTATTGTTAATTTATTATTATTTGATGTGAATATATCATAAAGAAAAATTAAAGTATGATTAAGTATGATTGCATTTTGCCTGGTGAATTAAAAATATCAGCTTTCTCAGCAATATGTTGCATCATCTCCAAGTGTATATACTCACTACCATTGTTTTTTCAGTGGGAGAACTTTGATAGCGAACCCATGACTCCCGGAGGAGTACATCTGGATGACGTTTTTGTTGATGACAAGTCTAATTTAGATTCATCAAAAAGAATAAAATCGCCTGAAAGAATGAATTCACCTGAACGAATGAATTCACCCGAAAGAGTGAGTTCACCTGAAAGAGTGAATTCACCTGAAAGAGTGAGTTCACCTGAAAGAAACACATCAGGAAGAATGAACTTTAATACAGCCAACTCACCTGATAGAATTATCTCTGATGATATAAACTCACCCAAAAGAATTAACACATCTGAAAGAGGTAACTTAGATAAGGCGAACTCCCCTGATAAGATAAACTCTCCAAACAAAGTGCCTCGATCTTTGCTGGCAAATAGCCAAATCAATAGTCATGACAATAAGAGGAACACATGGAGAAAAATTGAGGATTATATGACATTTGAAGATTATAAGCCAAGTATTGATATACCAAGAGATATATCTGAACCATATAATGATCTGAGACATAAACCATATATTCACACTCCTCGTGTTAGTGCAAAGGAGGTGCAACATAGGTTCATAGTGAGAAAGATCGGGACTCCTCTAGATACTAGCACACCAATGCCAACTCCAACAAAGTCGGAAACCCGTGACACTCATGACGATCAGTCTGATTTTGAAATTTCAGGCCTTGATGATTCTAAGTTCAATATATCCGGTGTTGAACAATCATCCCCATTAAAAACAATGCCTAAGGAAAATTCACATCTGGTATCTGAGAAAAATGAACGTAATTTAACTATTGGTCCACCATTACATAGTACTCCACTCAAAGGAGTACAGAATGGTACACAAATTGATTATAGCGGGAATTACTCGGAAAGAGAAACGATGCAAACACTGTCCAGCAGAAATCCAACTTCCCCTCATTTTCAAGGAAACCAAGCTAATAAGAGACCAGACTTTTTAAGCCTTGGTGACAATTCTCCAGCTACATCCAATATGCTTAGAAAAAGCCCAGCGGAAAAATGGCAGCAATCACAAAGCAAAAATTCTCCATTAGAAAATAAAAAATCCCCAACTGATAGAAAGGACAGAGAATTCCCATCTGATAGCAATGTCGCTAAATTTTCATCTGATAGATTAAGGAGTGAAAACACTATAAATTCAGCGCATCATCACAGAAATACACACTCTTCGAGATCTCTTGTTTTCGATAATCCAACTAGAAATGCAAACTCTACAGAATCTCCAGAAAGAGGTAGAAATATTCTCACCTCCTTTGCTGAAGATGGGTTTCAACATTCCAAGACTTTGACTAAACATTCCATGAATAATGATGAGGATGAAGATGAATATGGCTTTAAAAGTCATCCAGTCCCAAGGACAACAAAAAGGACTTCTTCTTTACAAAGAATCCCAGTGTCCCCTATTCCAGGCCAATCCCAGCAATACCTGCAAAATGACCAGTTATCAAAGGATGTCTCTAACCAGAATGCATTACCAAGGGAGGGTGTTGACAGGAATGCTGTTTCCCAAGCTCAAAACAAAATGTCTCAAAGGTATCAGCTATCTCCTATATCACATACAAGAAATCCTAAGCTAGAATCAGCAAGGCAAATGTGGAGTAGCAGAGAAAGACCACAAAATGATTACACTGAGGTACCTCAAAACAGACCTTCAGATATACTCTCTGAAAATCCAGGCATGCCCTCCAATGTGGGGCCGTATAGCATACAAAACCATGAAAATGCTGTCTCACAAAGAGCTCAAAATCTAAATACAGCTGCGTCCCCGCCACTTTCCCCAGTTAGAAATTCAGGAAATTCACCAGTTAGAAGTATTGACTATTCACAAAACACAAAAGAATATTCGCCAAATGTGTTTATATTTCCAGAAAACAATTCCCAATCGTCTCCCTCCTACTCACCAAGATCACAATATGACATCTCTAGTAATTCCACTGATCCTTCAAGACGTTCAATAGAAACTTCGAGAACATCTCGTAAGTCATCCACTCAAGGCAGTTTTCTATCACCTCGCTCAGCAAATGTCAGTCCCAAATATTCAATCCACAATCACAACTCAGTTAAAGCTGAAGGTCATTTAACTGGATATGATCAACATAGTAAAAGTCCCAGTTTTGACAGAGATTTACGTGATGATACTGTGAGACATGATAAATATGGGCAATTTATAAGTCAAAGCCCCTTGAGAGCTAGGGGTGTCAATTTTGAGCAGGAAAATATTAGAAATAGGTACTTAAATGCCAAGGAAAGTACCTTTAATCAAGAAATTCAACATTTCCCTAGTGGGAATACACATGAGCATGGAGACATGATCTCCTCAGTGAGCACACCTTTTAAGCAAATGAACAATATGCAAATGAGACCAGTGGCGCCACCTAAACCTGGTCCTAAACCTAGTCTTCCACCAAAGCCATCCAAACAAGTCAAACCACAGGTACCACCTAAACCTAAGAGAGCCATCTTGGATAATAATGAAACTGAACATATTGATTCCTATGCAAACCATGCAACAAGATCATCTGAACGTGACACTGTAAAAATCCAAAACCGTGATGGTGCCTCATGGCAAAACACTGTTTCCCCAAGAGCCAAGTATCTTAATACAGCTGTATCCCCGCCACTTTCCCCAGTTAGAAGCTCTCCAGTTAGAGATTCACCCCCTCGGAATATAGACTATTCACAACACACTATAGCAAATTCCCCCAAATCAGACACTCCCCAGGAAGATTATGATGGAGATAGATTGCAGTTTTCGTTAAATAAGACTCCATATAATAGCATCCTATCCAATGGTGAACTTAGACGTGATAACCAGTCCAATGGTAGACTTACACAAGACACATTGTCTAATGGTACAATTTACCATGACACCTCATCTAAGAGTGCCTTTAATCGTGATAATAGACATTTGGAAAATGGTGTCATTATAAAACGGAGAATAAAAAATAAAACAATGCCTGAAGAACAAAATTTGAGCAATAGAATTATACGAAGGCCAAAAATAAAGAATGGGACTCCGAAAAATTCCTGGTTGTGAAATATAAAATGTGGCTTGCTGTTACATGTATATAAAGAAAGATTTAGAGATTCACAAATCTGAAGTAATGTAGATCACACATTTTTATTTTGTACATTTATTTTGTACATGAGAATTATATTTTTATGATGATCTATTTAAATGTTGTTTCCACCATTCCACGACCTTCAACTTCAAGTCATTCCTTATTGAGTTTCAGATCATAAATAACGTATATACAAAGTAACATTTTTATCCCATGGAACGTAAAGTTTGATAGGGATATAATGAAATCCACAATCTATATGTTATTCTGTCAGTCAAATAACGATTAAATATCAGAGTGGAGCGATTTTAGAAGTTCTATCTTGTTTCACGGTATATAATATACATCCACATGTAGAATTTTAACAAAAATTCTTTCAAAATGGCCACTGTTTAAAAAATGCAAGTTATGCACATATATATATCATATTCCAAGAGTTTTCGTAACGCCTAAAATTTATCTGTCACGTTTCATATTAGTGTTCTGTAAAATTCAAAATGTCTGCCCAAAATGGGACATCGGTTATTATTTCACTTCTACATCTACATAGTCTTTTTATTTGTAGAATTTCTTCTAAAATATACTTTGCTAATATTCAACATGAATTTTGAAAACAGGTAATAAAAGCAATAATGATTGGTGTAAATGTATTTTCCTCGTTGGAATTAGCTACTCCGTGGCGTTGCCGTTTTTATTTATTACACATATTGGACACTGTATGTTATACTATTGAAAATATTTCAAATGTTTTGCCAAATCATTGAATTAAAAGGTGAGATGAGATGTTTTTAGTATTTTTATAGACGAATACAATTTTACTGTCAATGTCATGTCATTGTTAACACATTCCATACTTACATTTACTTGTACGAAGTTGACAAGTTTGCTCTAAATGCAGATCTATATTTTATAAATATATTTATTATCGGTTAATGACATGTTATGTATAATACTGATATCCCAATGAACGAAGTTCGATTGGGATATAGTGAAGCTCTCAGTCCGTCAGTCAGTCCTTCAGCTTAAAAATTACTCAAACAGTAGTGGACGGATTTTCTTCATGATGGGTGGAAGCATGCTATATTGTAAATAGCTTTACGCAAAAATACATTTTTAAAATGTTTGCTGTTTGAAAATGGCGGAATTTTTCATTCAAAATGGCCAATATCAATCCTTGAATTGGCGGAAATTCTGAGATTTTAATGAGGAATGCTATGTCAGCAAACTGAGGGTTTGAAGAGGAGATTGTAAATATTATATAGTCTCATTTCAGATTCATGAATAATTTGTTCGTTGGGATTTGTTACTCCATGGAGTCGCCTTTAAAGTATACATTATTTGAAAACAAAAGCTCAAAGTGTTACATTGTAATTGCAATAAATATTTATTTATTTTAAAAAGACGTTCGCAAATCTATTATACTATCTATCTTATATGAGAACACACTCTTAAACAATGCATTGCGAACACGCGCCTTAGAGCGCACTTTGTATTCATATCCATATTCCATGATGAACACTGAACAGTATAGAATTGGAAGAATCATTTATGTTCGGTTGAGGGTAACGAATGAGAACATAAATATTTTCTATGTAAACTCTGGTATTGTCACCGATCCACAACTGGTGGAACGTCAATGTAAAAAATGGACGAACTTCTTGAATACGAGTTTTTTTATTTATTTTCTCGATTTAAACCTGCTTATAAGTCAAGTAGCGGATTATAATTTGACACAGTGCTTAAGAATATAGTCCAAGCTTGGATTTTCGATTTGGTTTGTAAATGAAATCCATTCATTTATTTAGTTACACGCTTTTGTTACATTGACAAAAAAGCCATTATAATATCCAATGTCACTTCGATGTGAACTGCCATCAAATTTAACAAAAGCGATTGACTTTTATGCATAATGCCTTCAATTAAAAATATTTTCCAAACCGAATGCATTTTTCAAATCTATACTATAATAACCCCTGTTACACAGGCCAGTTGAAATGCTTCGTTACGAAGCAATTTGACAAAAAGCTTCGTAACGAAGCAATTTTGGGCCAGTGTAACACCTCCGCCTTCGTTGGAAAAGCTTAGTTGATAACGAAGCAATTGAGTAGAAAATTCAACGAAGGTTAGCTCCCAACGAAGCTTTTTTGGCCTGTGTAACAGGTAGCTTCGTTAGAAAATGCTTAGTTGGCGGTTTGCGCATGCGCGTAATAAAGAGCACATTCATCATTTTGTATTAAATGAGAGGAATCGCGAGGAAAGAACATGTTTTTAAGTACGTATTATTATAATGCTACGTTTTGATTAAAATAATTACCTATTTGCGTCACTGATTGACGCTAACTCAAGCCCTAAACGCCACGTACAAATGTGATTTACCGTCTTTCGTAGCATTTCATTCGATTCCCTGCCTTTCCTCGCATTGATATGACAAAAAGTATTAAATCTAAAAACGCAGGTTTTACCGTATATGTATACGGTAGTTTTGAAACGTTTATCTGATATATTAGAGAATAAACCTAGAATATTTAAATGTCCCTCTTTCGGAAAACTCCGTCTCAAGTGTGGAAGGGTAAACTTTTGAAATTACATAAGATATGCTTACTAAATAGAAAGTTGTGGCATACGTGTTTAATATTAATTTTTTCTTGCGTCTCGAATAATTATACCTTGAATGTAATTCTAAGGGTGTTAATACCATGATACTGATACAATTGCTTCCCGGTGAATCACATCAGGGAATATAGCCGATATTTCTCTTCAGAAATCGTATTAAACTGGCTATCGCCCCATTGCAATACATGTACTTGTACTAGTCGTTCCATTATTTCATTCTCCGACGATTTTAAATTGTAATTGAGGCTGCATGTTTTAGGCCAGCCCCAAACACTATTGATGTGTCGTAAGACGATGCTTACAACTGATATTCAAGTTTCTTCCTATTTGCGCCATTTTCGAATTCAACGGACGGCTGATGGATTAACATACTAATTTATGTCAAACTCACAAATATGCATGGAGTATTGGCGAGACGGGGTAATATTCATATTAAAATGAATTGGTCAATGAAATAGTAGGTACACGCGGTCCTAACTTCGACCGTTAATTTGAATTTTTGACCTACCAGATGTTTGAAAATCAAGGATTACGAGTCTCATACTGCACCGTTTTTCTTCAAACTTGTTCCATTTAAAGCATAACAAAAATCCCTTTCTGATGGTACATTATTCTCTTAAACAGAGTCCCTACTTCCAGCGGCATTTTGGTCTCCAGCTGTAAGAAGGCCTTCTAACAGCTGGGGACCAAAACGCTGCTAGAACGAGATACTCTTTACAATAAAGTAAAACACCGACAGAAAGGCAATTGTTTTGCTTTTAATGGTATAGGTTTGAAGAAAAACGGTGCAGTATGAGACTCGCAATCCTTGATTTTCAAGCATCTGGTAGGTCGAAAATTCAAATTAACGATCGAAGTTAGGACCACGTGAGTTAAACCACCAGTCGAACACCGAGATATTTTAGTAATGGCTACACTATTTGAAATATAACTGAGAAGTCCATTTGGAAATTGAACGTTTTTACGATATTACATACTAGTCGTCTGTATAAACCCCAAATCCAATTCCTCCTAGTAATTAACATAGGCCTATTTTTATTCCATATGTTTTCCAAAGGAAATGATAGAAAATGAAAACAATACTTGTAATCGTATTGACAGCTGAAATATATAAAAATCGAAATGATAGGAAAAATGTAGGGACATGTGTACGGAATGATCACATTCATCTTGTTTTATTTTCCCGAGAATTTTGAACTAGTTTTTTCTGTGCTGATTTGTTAAAATAAAGATTAAAAATTAGATTTTTGAGTTTAATCAATGGCTTATATCAAAAGAATAAAAATATTAATCATAATAAGTGGGTGGGGCAGATGAGTAATGCGCACGCGCAACGAAGCATTTTAAATGCAGTGTAACACCAAATAATTGCTTCGTTAGGGTTGGATAAAGCCAGTGTGGACACAATTTTTTCTCTAACCTTCGTTACAAAAATGCTTCGTTAGACTCATCCCAGCAGTGTAACAGGTACCATTGTCTAACTTTGTGTCAAATTATAATTTGCAACTTGACTTATAAGTAGGTTTAAATAGAGAAAACAAAAAACAAAAGAACTTGCATACAGGAAGTTCATACAGGAAGTTCATTAATTTTGTCACATTGACGTTGCGTCAACTAGTTGTGGAACAGTGATGAATACAGCCATTTGCTTGTTCTTTAAATACCCTCAGACGGTTAGGGTGGGGGGGCAGATCTAAGGAATTTGGATAACTTTTTTCGTAGTACGTCCTTTAATCTGAATCTTTATGACTTTTCATGTCACCACCAAAAAGTGGTGACGTATTGTTATGGTGTCCTTTTTTGACGGCGGTTGGCGATCGGAGTCTAACACATTTTTACAACTTCCAATAACTTAACAGATACTGTTTAGACTGACTTCATTTTTTCAAAATCATCTTCAAGTTTTCAGAAGTTCAAATCTGACTTGAGATTTGACCTTCAATGACTTTCTCAAGATCAAAAAAGGTCAGAAAAGTATTTTTTTAACTTGCTTCAAAACCATTTTTTCAAAATCATCTACCAGTTCTCAAAAGTGACTATAGAATATGTGACCTCTAATAACATTCTAAAGGTCAAAAAAGATTTGACCTTCAATGACCTTCTAAACCATTTCTTTTGCATGCAATTTATTTTTTGTAACAAATAATAGTCACGGGGATTACATCGACATTATTTCTGTCTTGATCCTGTCACCAGCTAGAATATTTCTCTTTTCAGATATAATTTTACATTTTCACCAACGTCTTCTAGATCCAATTTCATTTGCAGCTCATGCAGCCTCCTGAAAGAAAATGTGACCAGTCAAGACTTATATCAAAACGTATTTACCAATTATTAGGAAGATAAGTGAAATCATTTTATTTACCTAATTTAGAGCAGGACATATCAATGATAAATATATCTGGTTAAAACAGTTTTTGGCACACCTTGTATTAGGCCCAGTATTCGATTTAAAATTACTTATTCACTTCGCAATGAAAATTTCGAAAAATAATGTCTGAAAAGTGCATCTTTGTTAGACACCAGCTTAAACTGCAGTTTTTTCTTCTGCGTATAAAATCGTGTTTCATTTCCATGTTTAACTATTAAAAGGGTACTTACTATTGATAACCTCTTTGACATATTACGTAATTTTGCGCATGACATGGTTGTGGCAAAGGTACGGTTTCCTGGTTACTCTTGTGGTGTAGAAGAACACATCTGTCGCTGTTAGGATTTCCCTGTGGTGGAGGCTGATCAAAGTTTTCAGTGCAAAGGTTATTACCTGAATGAGAAATATGAACAGGTACTTGTATGCTATACTTTTAGTAAGCCTGGAGTAGTTTATAGTGGTACTTATGGTTCACTCATTTCGTCACACATTGAAATTTGGAATCTGAAGAGCATGTCTTTATTGTTATTTCAAAGGGCGAAAGGGATACTTACTGCAAACAAATGAGTATGGGAGAGGTGTTTTTGCGCATGACCAAAACAGCATAGAATCGCCATAGCCTAAAAAAGAAATACTAACATTAATTAACAAATAAATATCCTGTATAGACCTGCATGGTTATTATCCTATCGAGACTTTGAAGGGATATAGAACAGCGTTCATTTGTCTGTTCATGTTCAACTCGATTACGGATTGTCAGCTTTGACACAAATTGTACATGCCGATATATAAGACATGTTAGGTTTTTCCTAAAATGACAAGTGTTTTTGCAAGAAAGTGGTATTTTTGTATTCTCTAACCAACCTAGTATTTAACATGGATATATTGTAAGCGTGAAAACCTTTGCTGACGATGCCTGTATTTAATCCTCAAACGATTGCCAGATTCATAAATGGCCACATTTTCTTTTATATATGACATCACGTCAATAAGTTCAACATATGGCTTGACACAGATTTGGAATGGTAACCATTTTTATAATTCGAGTCATTTACCAAAAAGAACCACTTTTTCTGGTGTTAGAAGAATAAAGCATGGCGTCATGAAACTATCATCTATAGCTCGACATATTTACTCGTTGCGAGTAACAATATAATTTGACATACCCTTAGTTCTTAAATGTGCATTGAGGTCATTGTAGCACCCCATGCTAGTCCAGCGGAATAAGTTTGCATTATCTCCATTACAAAGAGCCTCAGCGCCTGCCCAATCCCTTTTGTACAGATCAATATCATACACTTTGACACAGCCAGCCTTATAAATAAAATTGTGTTGACAAATCATAAAGCCCTGTCATATATGGTCAACGACGGCTGTAGCTTAACAGAATCGATATAGAAAGTTCTACTTTGTACTACTATATTTTTCTCGATTTTTGGAAGATACGGTCGCCAAACGGTTGCCGTAGAAACAAGTATGACTTGGGCATTTGTTGAAATAAGTCTAGGGAAACAAAATGCAAGCTTAATAGAATATGATTCGGCCTTTTTGTTCAACAGCCACGATTAATATCGAAGAAATCGAGATCGAGCATTCGAGGGTCACTGTGTATGATGTGAATATGCCCTTTATATGGGAAGGAACAAAGTAACAAACATTACTTACAAATGCACCGCACGTTAAACATTGCTCAGAAATTTTGGTGTACCCAGTTGGACATCCGTCTAAAATTGAGAACACACACACTGTGAACAGGATCGCAGCCTTAAATAGAATACGGTTTTCGGGACGGAAAATTCAAAATGGCCACCCTGGCATTTACAAAGACTGTCCAAAAACTCATCATTTCTAAATTTCATAATGAAGTAACATCCCTAAAATTTTAAGATGAATCCACGAAACGGTATGGCTGGATAAGCCTCGACACACAAGATACAGGACTGAAAATCCAAAATGGCCGCCTTAGAATTTACCAAGAATGCCCCAAAACTATTCATTCCTCTCTTCATACGTACGTAGACACATCCCTGAAAATTTCACAGTTTAGCTGGAAAGCTGTAGACAAACCTAGACAAACGCTATTTTTGGACGAAAAAAATCATTTTGAAAGATTTGATCAGTGACTTGGACCCGATTTCCGCATTTAATTTGTTTGATATTTCTCTTTCTTGAACCTGCTTTTTACCCACTCTTGATCTCAATTGTCACACAGAAATATGACGCATAGTTATTTGATCAAGGTGATTGAATGAGAATTTTTGCTGTTACAATCATAAAGCCCTATAATAATAGCTTAATTTCTTTATAACCATTTCTCAAAAAGGTTCACTTGTTTAGCGCCGTTTTTAGTGCAGGGCCGCGTTTAAAGTTATGTATATGTTTTTCGCGCTCGAGTGGCACACAAATGCGGAAAAGCAGATGGGACTATTAGGAAGGCAATGCAAACTGTTCCTTTATATCTAGAGTACAAAGCAAAACAATGAGAAGATAGAATTGAATATTGTAAATAGCTTTCCATAATCCATAGACATAAATGAATTTTTGTTAAATGGACAATATCTTAGTTAATACTTGTTGGTGGTGGAGTCACTGGTGGTGGAGTCACAGGTGGTGGAGTCACTGGTGGTGGAGTCACGGGTGGTGGAGTCACTGGTGGTGGAGTCACTGGTGGTGGAGTCACGGGTGGTGGAGTCACTGGTGGCGGAGTCACGGGTGGTGGGGTCACTGGTGGTGGAGTCACTGGTGGTGGAGTCACGGGTGGTGGAGTCACTGGTGGTGGAGTTACGGGTGGCGGAGTCACGGGTGGTGGAGTTACTGGCGGTGGTGTTGGGCCTATTGGTGGTGGCGTTGGACCAGGTGGAGGTTGCGATTCTGAAATATAAAACACATCACTTTTACTATCGTTTAATCATTATCTAGCTTTTGCATTGTTTTTGATAGATAATGTGTCCCTCGAAATTAAACCCTTCAATAATATAAAATCAAAGTAAAATCTCAAGTTATACATAAGCATAATTGAGGAGTGTAATTTCTTGCCTAAAGACGATGTACCTCTGTGTACTTCACCTTCCAAATGATGTATTCCATTTGTTAAAAGCAGTACAGTTTAGCGTGTTCATAAAAGATTTCCAGAGGCCCTTATTTTAGAGTTTTGGTTCTTCACAAAAATGATTTATATATACTTTTATATATGATTTTTTAGAAATAATTTTCATAATAATGATATATTGTCAAAACACTTATTAACTCATTTCATATTTTTGTTGTCTTTATTTTATATATATAATCATTAAGCAAGTGGGTTTGAATAAGTAATTCTATAAAATACATAACCTAAAAAATGTGTTACAGAATGACATCCATTTTCTCCATATTAACTCATTACTTTAAAAGCGATTTTTTTCTCCAGAACGTACAGTATTATATTTTTATAATATCATAATACCTGGACAGCAGGCAAGACGATTTTCATTTTTGGAGGAAGTTCCTTGGCATGATATTCCGTAGCATTGTCGATGAAATACACATTGGTAGCTTGTGATGACGCATACAGACTGGCGTTTCTCTATAGAAATGGATCCAAGTTGACTCTCTACTGAACGTTTGCGACCCAATGGGTGCAACGGAGTGCATCCCGCAGGTGGATCGCAAATGACTTCCACCCAAGGCCCCCATCCAGCTCCAGGAATTGGTCCTATTTAGAAAATAATGTTTCAGAGGTGGAGTATGTATATGCCTGTTGACAGATTTCATCATTTCGATCAATCACAGGCATTTACTAGTACAAGCATAATTCTATATGGACGATAGTCTTGGGAGAGGTCTAACTTGCAAACTAGACTGCCAGATTGCATAAACAGCACAACCAATGCCTTAATACCTAAATAAAATATAGGTATAGCCTCTTACCAGTCGGTGGCGGAGGTGTTGGAAGTGGAGGAATAACACCACCAACACAGCATTGTATGTACATTTGTTCTATGGAATTTCCAACACATCGCGACGTAGCGCCGCCAAATGTTCGCTTCCCTCTGCAATGGCACTGACGGGTTTTATAGTACCGTATAACCCCAGGACAAATGCAAGTGTGCGTGCTTGGTTGACCATTATATATACATGTTGTCCCGACGATCCAAGGCCCCCAAGGACCCCACCCACATCCTTCGGATAGATGTATAATAATGAAATTATTTAATCAAAAAATGTATTTTTTATCTTGAAATAGATTATAGAAGACGTCCATGGAGAAAATTCTGTAGTCTAATATAACTGTATCATTGTGTTTAAGGGGTTACCTGTATCAGCTTAAATAGATTAATAAACGTTAATTACCAGTTGGTGGTGGGCTGACATGGCCAACACAACATGGTTTGTAAGCTCTTTCTATTGAAACACCAACACATTGAGTATATGTAGTGCCTCCTCCTGTTCGTTTCCCTCTGCAATGGCACTGTCGGGTTCTATAGTAACGTGCAGTCCCCGAATAATAGCAAGTGGGTGTACCAACTGTACGTTTACTTATACATGCTGTCTCTATGATCCAGGCGCCCCAATTACTCCAACGACATACTTTATATAAACATATATAGCAAATGTAAAACATAAATATGTAATACTATTTAAGACCCTTTTACTTTAAAACCCTTGACAGTAGTTAAAATGACTAGGTGTAGTATTTAAAAAGATCAAGGGTATGTACTGAGCTTCAAAATTAAAGAAAACAGAAACAGAAAATAAAATAAAATAGAACATGTGTCCACATGGATTTAAACACACCCTATCTAACAAAATATTTCATAGCTCTAACGTGGTAAACGAAAATGTTGAAAAAAGATTATCTTAATATTTATATAATTCTGGAAAAGTAATATCATTACTCTTTCATCATTACAAAATGGTCAAAATAGTACCAACAATATTGAAATTTTGACACCACAAGCCATCCTAAACGTGAAACATTCTAGGTGAGACATATGGGCTGAGGTTTCTAAGTTAAACAAAGTATCTTTAATATCCTTATTTGGGGTCAAACGGACAAGGTAGACTAAAGCAATGTTGTTTCTTATATTTTTCATTTTAAATGTTGTTTTAAAATTGGTTGCCGTAGTAACTGTCTAATAAAAATTCAAAGGGACATTTTCTTAAATATTATTCATTAGCGGATCTGTATATTTTCCTCTTCAAGTATGCCAAAGTTCAGCCTGCAAAACCGAGGGGAGGGGTCAACATTTGAAACAGCCTCTTATTTCAACTTTCCTCGCCTATTAATCGTTGTATTGTGTATTTATTGGTATTAGAATCCATTGTTGTAGCCCATGGGTAATGACTAAATCAATTAAAACATATCACGGTCAAGTCAAGTAACTTAGTCAACATTCGATATTCGTATGTTCATCAGTATTTACTAAGAATGGTGCCACAATTAAAGTAAATCCCTGGTTAATTATTTTCAATAAGCCTATCAGCAAACGTGTAAATGATAATTTTGATGATCTGTTACATATTGGCGAAGCAATCTTTGGGATATGACCTAAATTTCTGATTTTCCACTGTGTCCCTGTATACCCCTACTTCAAAAGATGTATGTTATTTGTCATTTTTCATTATGAACCAACCATAAATGTATTTTTTCTTGTTTACATACAGAATGAACTTTGTGTTTTTAAATATTGCAAGATGGTACTGCATTAATTTGTTCGTGATATGGAGCAAACAAATGCGTGTCAATTTACACTGTAACATCCTACATACTTATATTTCAAGACCTTGCCTTGAAACGAAAAGTGTATCGTTAATACTTGACGTCGTTCGGAATTTGGATGTGATTGACGTTTTCGTTAATCTCCTAGCACTGTAACTTCCAACTTAATTTTTGGAAGCCAAATGTGATAGTCACGAATTGATATTTAGTCACACATTTATGCATACATCATGTGTGTACATTAACTGTCGAAAACATACCGACTTACATTTTTATAAATATCCACAGTTAAATCAAAATACAATTCTCGAAACGGTTTATCATATAACCTGGTGAGTTTAATGTTTCATTTTAATTTATAATTATGGTATCAGCTTTGAGTATGATATAAGTCGAGGCTTAAACAAAGCAATAAAATTACGTGAAACCTTTTGTGAAAATTCGAACGATTTTTCAAGAATCCTCCTTCAAAGTGTTACCAAAGTGCTCCCCGGGAGTGGAAATTTCGTCTTGTGTAATCAGAATAATAGCGGGTAGTTTGAATTTTTATTTGAGTTTATTGCTTAAATCTATAAATTTAAAAACACATCGCCTAATTGAGAGCTACATGCAGATTTTGGCGATCTATCATTATAAAAGGCTAAATATTGTGCAAAAACATGAGTTGACAAGCTTTTATTTGGAAATGAAATTTCCTACATAATCTTCTAATCATGTTTAAAAGTCATGAAAACAAGGTTGAACACAAAACATTGACCCAGTTACCGTCTATTTAGCATGGGATCACTAAGGGAAATATTATTAATGACTTAAATCGTTTACGGCTAAGTTGTATTCCATTAAACTTATCAATTTAGAAATGCAAAATGTTCAATTTTGTTTTTCAATTATAAAAAATGGCACCTGTAGAGAACAACGTTTTCAAAATTATTTAAAACAGAGATATTTACATATGTAACATTGATTGCTATGTGTCGGGGAGTAAATAAGAAGAATATGCATTTGATTCTATATCTTGTTCCCAAAAGAGTTTGTTAAGGAGCGGTACATCTTAACGTACTTTTATCATCCCGAACTCAAACATTTCGAATAAATATTTTGAGAACGCTTTATTGAGAATGGATTCGAGATGTACAAAATTAATACGTTAAAATGTTTATTGCCATCTTGATAACCACCTCACAAATTATTTTGGAAATCCAAGAAGTACGATTTTTGAGATTTTTATTTTCGAATGTTGACTTAGTTACTTGGCTTGACTGATCAGTATATTGTTAACCGATCATTACATACCAGGGGTAGAAACAGGACACGACTGAAAGTAGCATTGTATAGCCCCTCGCTGTTCAATACTACTACCAAAACATCCGTCTCTGCCAGATTGTGATTGTCCGTACAGTTTTGATCTTGTTCGCGTTTCAGTTCGGGTTCCCCATCCGCAAGTAACCGAGCATATCCCTTGCTGCCATGTACTCCATGGACTCCATCTACAAACTGATATGAGGACATTTGTAATATAACTTTCGACAAAAAGTAGTTATACACTAGAAGTGATTTGATATTGGGAATATCATCTCGACAGGTACTACTTCAAAAATCATCTGATGGATGAGAAAAAATGAATTAACTTTGGAAATATTAATGTTGCAAAAAATTATAACATTAAACACATTAAACAAAGTACATTTTTGAGTCACCTAGTCACTGTTCATTTTCACTAAGAGAACCATACTCAACAATGAATGGATTTCCCCGGGAATTTATATCTGGGATGACATCAGAATAAGCAGAATAAAATGATTGTCTGTCGACATGATATCATTCCGCTTATTCTGATTCCATACCGATATTAGTCCCAATCCAAAATGCGTGACCTATCACTTGTCAGAAAAGGTAGTTAATCATCACGTACCAGGGGTAGGAACTGGACACGGCATATAGTAGCACGGTATAGCACCTCGTTGTTCAATACTACTACCAAAGCATCCGTCTCCGCCGGATTTTCCGTACAGTTTTATTCTTGTTCGAGTTTCAGTTCGGGTTCCCGTGCCACATGTTACTGAGCATACACCTTGTTGCCATGCACTCCATATATTCCATTTGCAAACTGATAATAATGTAGACGCAATATAGGGCCTATTATATCATATAGAACCCATGGTTCATAGTCCATGAAGGATATTACCAATCTAAAAGACGTGATGCAATTTAGATGCATTCACTGTATCTTATACTACGCCTATGTACTTCTACTATATACTAATACTACTACGTAGTACTATATCTAGTAAAAACCGTGTGGAAGAAAAATACACAATTGTAGACAAAGAGTTCAACATTTTCAAAGAAAGCAAATTTGAACCAATATTATCAATATATCACACACCAATGGGAGTGTAGCACTCTTGAATATAGCATGAAACGGTTGTCCGTTCAATTTCGTTTCCGTAACATTCTCGTTGACCATACTGTTCAAATGTGTAAATCTTTGACCTGTACTTCGCGTTTGTCTGCGATCCTTGACCACATGTTACTGAGCACGCTCCTTGTTGCCAAGGTGACCAGTCACTCCATCTGCATACTAAATAGTGATACATACAATGCAGAAAATAAGTTTTCTTTTCAGTAACGATACGTACCGTGTTTTGGGAAATAAAACCGAGACTAAAAAGTAAGAAAAACCCCGGAGTTGAGGGATATTTTTTAATCTAATTATATATGTTTTTGAACATTTTTCGCCTTACACAGGTAAAAAATAAAAAAGAAAGAATAAAGTTCATTATGTTATCTGATGTTACAACATTTGAGAAAGTTTATCTTTTTTCTGACATTGCATGCAAGATTATATTTGATAATTTTTTTGTGAAATAATTGTACGTATTGTGTTGAGATCTGAAAAATATTTTTGAATAATTCTTGAAAATCCCCCTTTGCTGAAATCATACATAACTTCAAATACTCAAAGCGATTTGATTTAAAACAAACAAAGAACAGTAGAGAAATATCAAAACTAAAGGTTGCAAGTCATAAATACTATAAGTATTAGTGTTTTCTTTATTTTGAAGTAACACTTTGATATTATATACGATTACTTCTACACTTTTAAATGACAAACCTTGTGATCGGCATACATCATTTGTGCAAGTTTCAGTTTTCTGTTCAATATTGTTTCCAAAACATTCTACAACACCCTCTCCAGACTCCGAATTACCATACAGTTTTGATCTAGTTCGCGTGTCCGTCCGACTGCCTACTCCACACGAAGCGGAGCAACCGCCTTGATGCCACCTGGTCCAGATACTCCATTTGCATACTGACAAAAAAAATCAATCAAAGTACAGAAATTAATCAAAAACGATCAATAATTCCAATATGACTGTATTCACGCCTTCTATAAACTCTGAACAATGTCAATATTTCACAAGGTATTCATTTGCCGATACAATATGGTTTAATTGATTCCATTCTATCACTTTACGTACTACTAGTTGTGCCTGTGTAACATAATTATTTCAAAGGTTAAGTAAATAAATAATTCGAGCATGGTTTAATTGATTCCATTCTATCACTTTACGTACTACTTGTTTTGCCCGTGTAACTTAATTATTTCAAAGGTTATTAAAGTAAATAAATATTTCAAGAATGGTTTCATTGATTCCTTTCTATTATTTTAGGTACGTTTGCCTGACGAGTGAAACTTATAATTATGACACAAACCTTGCCTTGCACAATTCCCTATATTACAAATTTCGGTGCAATACTGCATGGTTGACCCGATGCAGGTTGAGGAACCAAAAGCTCCAAATTCCTCTGTTCGCGTTCGATATTTTGAACGGGTACCTCGGCCGCAAGTTACTGAACATGGTTCAAGTCGCCATGGGGTCCATCTCGTCCAACGACAGCCTTTAAGAAGATGCGAAGCCAAAAAGCAAAGCTCATGTGATTGCTCTTGAAAACAGAGACAAATAAATTTTACATGTCTCTAGTTAAAAGGAGAAAACCGAAATTTTTTCTCTATTTGCATACATTTCACAGCTCATTGAATATTTTGGACTCATATCTTTTCTTGTTAAAGTGTATGCGAAACTATATAGAGTGCACAGGTGTCCGTACTCGGGAACTATAAATCGGCTCAACCAAAGTTTTGCTCAGATAGGTGTGAGAGGACGGTCGAAACACATGCTTAACTTATTGAATACCAGCCTCTAAAAAGGGTTTGAAACCAGATATGACGTGCACGGACCTGGGGACAATTCGAGAAATGCGTGCTAATGTCTCCTTTAAGTGTTAATACCTGCCTTATCAAAAAAGCTAACCATGTGTTTCATATCTCATTTTAAAGTGTTCTTTATGCAATTTTTAGTGATATTATTTTTCCTAGAAAACGTTGATGTGATCTAAAAATATTTTTAGGGTTAAATGTATCCCGACATCGCAAAATACGTTGTATGAGGTGACACTTTATCCTGCACTGCTAGTTTAAATTAAGATAACTTTTGAAATAATGATCAGAACACCACTAAAGTTTCACATTTTGTTCAATTGACCATTTGCATTCATGACGTCATAATTGCTTAACGATCACAATACGAATTATATGGACGTTTTTAAAATTTTCAAAATTGTGTAAGGTTTTGAAGGCGAAGGGGATGAGCGAGAAGTTAACCTCATTTTGACCTTCTAATTGAGGTCTGAATTGAATAAAACATCCGTTGCACAATATTGCCCTTGCGAAATTTAAAAAACAATAATCAATTCATAAATTTTACAAATATTATTAAAATAAGAGGTAATTTACGAGACTTGAAAAAATGTAACGCATCCACTTTTTACTCCAAATTTCAGGCATATCGATTTTTACTAACGCTTCAAGTAAAGTTCCTGACCGTTTTTTAAAAATCAAAAACATTTAAAAATATTTTCCTCGAGATTTTCTTACTCCGTGAATTTTATCATGATTGGACAAGGATAAAGCTTTTTATTTTTAGGTTCACTAATCGTGACAAAATGTCGTTTTTTACGTTAGTCTATTTGCGCCATTTACTGCCCACAATTTTGTTTCGGTATTTTGACGCCATAATGTTAGGCTAATTGTCCCCAGTTTCGTGTGAAAAATTCTGTGACAGATATATCTTTCGCTCTGGGTTCCAAATGGATTTTATTTGTGACAGATATATCTGTCATTTTGGGTATTCAAGAGGTTAATAAGTTTGCAAGTTTAGCTATATGTACATTTTCTATATTGCAAATACGTATTCATAATGTTACTCGTAAGGTATATTTCCATGAATTGATATACAGGGTGATCCAGAAGTAACGTCAAAGATGTTGTAATTTCAAAAGTATTCATCAGATCTTCATGAAATTTGGTATACATGTACCCACAACATTTCTGAGTTACCATCTCAAAGATTGGAATTCAATCATTTCATTGGTTGAAATTATGGTTGCTATAGTAACCCGATATCGCGTAACCCGGGGCAAATTACTTAACGTGTAATGCGTAATCTCAAAATATCAACAAGATCTGAAATTGTTATATCCTCAACATTTTATTTCACAACAATATAAATCATACTATTGCACAGTTACTAATAATAGTTCATTCTACATAATTGCCACCATTTGCAACACATTTCTCATGTCTGGATACCCATTCCTTGAACACAGAATTAAATCCATTAGAACTCATTCCTTGTAGGGCTAGTACTACGGCATTTTTCAATTCCTCACAGGATTGAAAATTATTTCCACTAAGGTTTCTTTTTAGTTCCCCATACAAATAAAAGTCACTGGGGGCAAGATCAGGTGAATAAGGGGCATGTTCAAGTTGTTGAAATCCAAGTGTTTGGACTGTGTTGCTGGTCAGGATTGCAGTGTGCGTAGGGGCATTGTCCCAATGCAAGATAAACTGCTGCAGATGTCCGGGACGCTTTTTCCTCAGGGAACGTTGAAGATCACGCTTCAGAACCTGAAAAACAAATGTTTAATGGTTGTTAAACCAGTTGTTTCATTGATTGGATTTGGATTTGAATCATGGCCATGGAGTTATAATTATATTGACAGTGAACAACATTTAAATACTTTAATTTAAAAATAAAATTCACAGTATGATGTATTATTAGAACAAATGATATCTTACCTTTGCAATGTAAATGGCATTAATTCTCTGGCCAATGGGAACAAAATGGGTTAACACCATTCCTCTAATGTCAAAGAATGTCACAACCATTTGTTTCTTTTGTGGAATTCCTGGTACTATTTTAGGCTTGGTTGGTGTTGGGGAGTTGTCATGTTTCCACGATGAACTTTGTTGCGTGGTCTCTGGGATGTAGAATGATAGCAATGATTCGTCACTCGTAATGATCTTGTTAAGAAAGTCATCTCCATCTCTCCGATATTTTGCAAGAAAGTCCCTTGAAGCCTTAACACGCCGGTCTTTCTGCTCCTGTGTCAAGTCATGCGGCACCCATTTAGCAGACACCTTCTTTAACAGACAGTTCTTTGTCAGTATCCGTTGCACAGTCCCATAGCTCAGATCGTGTTTTTCAGCCAATTCTCTGATAGAAATTTGCCTATTGTCCATAACATCAGCTTCAATTGCTTTGATGGTTTGATCATCGAATGACGACACTGGCCTGCCTCCTCGCTGCTTGTCTACCACTTCATCATATCCACTGGAATACTTGTTAAACCACCTGTAAATGTTTCTCTCAGCAATGGCAGCTTTACCATATGCCTTCTTTATCTGTCTTATAGTCTCTTTTACACCTTTCCCCAACTTTACACAGAACTTAATGTTTGTTCTTTGCTCTATTTTACTCTGACTTGGCGCCATCTTGAATTGGGTGGGTTAGTGTCCTTGGTCATGTTAGTATTTGTCATGGATGATGGAAGCAATTCAAAGAAATTGAAAGCTTTTTATGAATGCCTATTGTGACATCACAACTATTACATATTTGTTACCATGGCAACAAATATAAAAATCATATAAAACAAACAATGAACATTTTCAAATGTTACTGACTTTTTAAATTAGAGAAATTCACAAAAACGTTATGGTTTCTCTTCAATTTGCCCCGGGTTACGCGATATCGGGTTACTATAGCAACCATAATTTCAACCAATGAAATGATTGAATTCCAATCTTTGAGATGGTAACTCAGAAATGTTGTGGGTACATGTATACCAAATTTCATGAAGATCTGATGAATACTTTTGAAATTACAATGTCTTTGACGTTACTTCTGGATCACCCTGTAGTTTTGAATATATATTTTGGTAAGTATTGAGAACGTATACTGCTTTTTTATCAGACCAATTGAATACATATAAAATATTAACTTGTCGTGGATGATTGTACACCAAGATACGTACATGATTACATGCACGACTTACTGGGTATTCGTACACTCCCCTCCATAAGTTTGGCAACCTTAGCTCCCCCATTGAACTACGTGTTAAAGCCTCTTTATACCTTTGAATCTTTATTTACTTAACATGCGATGAAAATACGTATACTATTGATGGAAACGTAATTTGACTTCATTTCAAATACCTCCAAATTTTCTCATTTTTTCCTCAATTACAATAAGTCGAAAATTGATGATAAATTTGATGAATATTTAAAAATCGACATTCCCATGTTAACCAATGGGAAATGGTAGGTTTGCCGCAAGTCATAGGACAGAATACCCATCCGAGTGCTTGAAAAAAGCGAGTAGGGCTGGTAATTGAATTTGCTAACTTTATTTAACAAAAAATTGATGTTTCTTGAGGTTCAACAAAGAGGTCGAAAGTCAAAGTTGTTTTTCAAAAAACCTCTCCCATTGAAATAACACAAGAAGCCACATTTTTTTTTCAAAAATGACTTTGAAGCGTTGTAACTTTAGAATTCATCAAATAAACTAGACACTTAGTGTCCAAAAAAAGTAAGACAATTAAATTTTCTATATAAAAATATTTTTGCTGAATCTTTTGCTGAAAAGATATCCTTATTTCTGATTTGCCATTAATATTATGAGTTATTTCATCGCCGGTTAAGTAAATAAAAATTCAAACGTAAAGAGGCTTTAACACGTAGTTCAATGGGGGAGCTAAGATTGCCAAACTTATGGAGGAGAGTGTATATGTACAATGCATTGTGTGTCTGCACTGTTGCTCATAAATATGGAATATTAGATTTGACAGCTCAGAATATTAGTTTTGGAGTAAGAAAACATTTATTCGGAGTCTTTTCAGACATTTATTTTCTAGGCAAATTATAACCACATATTTCATCTACAAATCAACAAAATG